ACTAAAATATCATCCAACGCTAAACATAAGGCTAAAGAAATTTCATGTCTACTTGAAATCTAATACAATTGCAAACTCAAAACTGATTTTCTCTTCCCTGAAGCTAGTTTCAGGTTTCAGATATACTCATCTCGAAGGGGGGAAATAAATGTGAGAGAGAAAATATAAGCTCTATCTTCCTCGTCTCTGGCTAGAGAATGTAAAATTTGACTAGAACTCAAGGTACAGAGTTACCCTTCTATGCATGTTAAATGGTAAATTTAATCTCCATCCTTTTGTTTACGACTCAAGGCCTCCCTTTGCTTGAAGGGTCTCTATTCTCTTTTACATCTGCCAACTTCCACACACAATTTTCTGACTCTTTTTCAGCACATACTAGCAGGAACACTCCTTCCTTTTCTAAGCAACTGGACTCGGTATCTTCAGCATAGCAAACTCTCATAGGCATGTCTTTAAACCGATTCAGATCCTCAGGAACTTTAAGTATCCTCTCAGCACCTGGGGATGATACCTGTAGAACGAAAAATATGCTTTCTTAGGCATGGAAAAACCTCAAAGACATTATGCTTCACTTTGAGTTGCCATGAATAAAATCCCAGTAGAACAGGCAATCAAATTCAGCTTGGATGAATAACCTCGAGAGCTAAATTATCAGGTATTTCTCCAAGTGCTCCAGCTTCTTCTAATCTTTTCTTGTATTCTTGACTATAGCTTTCAAGCTCTTCCATGCTTGGACAACCATATCTGAAGAAATAAGGCAAGTTGCATTGAACAAACCGTACAGATTAGGCATCCAACAAAAGAGACAGGCATCATAAGCCCACAATTATATCATGTATCACTGAATGACACAATTTGCTGTCCTGCAACTCTAGGCAGAAGCCAAGCTATCCAACAAGCCATGAACCTATCATGAAAGACCCTAAAAATTATAGCACTGTTTCTCACAACAGATACAAAATGCTCAGGGAATGATAAGTCAAACAATTTTTAGCATATGGTGGTCACATAGCGCAAATACCATGCATAAAGAGGCTAACTATGACAGTAAGTGGAATTTCAAGAACAATGGACGGAATTAAAAATGCAGCCCATAGCAGAATCGGACAATCATCTCAAGCTGATGGAAACAGATTACTGGAATTTTAAAGGTAACATGGAATGCTGTAAAGGATACTAAAGTGGGATCATCCTCCCACCTCAATATCTAGTTTTTGGGAGGAGGTTCACCCTCCACTTCAATGGATATTAAAAGGATGTTTGAATGGAGCTGATGTCATCAACTAAGCTTTCTTAAGGTTATACAATTATGTTTGTTGTAAGAAAAAAGGTGAAAATTTTTGACATCCTTGTTCCCAGCAAAAAAAAACAAATAGTTACTTCTTGAAAAAACAATTTTAATTGAACATACTCTGCAAAGAAAGGCCATATTCTGATCTTTAGGGAAAAAAATACAGAAATACACTTCCAGATATTTTATCTGGCATAGGTTGAAAACTTACTGATGTGTTAATTTGTCCAATCTCACGTAGACATATCCACGAGAGAGTAGTCTTGAAAGAGAACAGTTCTATGTCATCACTGAACTTCATCAGGACCTCCTGAGCAATAGAGAGGGCTCGTTGGCCCCAAGGGACACCTTGCAAGTCAACTCCACCACCACCTCCCCCATCACCAGGCTTCATATAAAAACACTAATAGTTATGTAAAAATTACTTGTAAATTTGAAATAAACATCTTATCATTGAAGAAACCAACAAGAATGTCTATGTTAATGTCATGTTACCCTAGGCTCAGCCTCATCTTCTTCCTCCCATCCATCTGACATTTCGTCGTCTTCGCCTGTCTCACCTGCGAATTGCCAAATGCATGAACATGGATATGTGAAACCTTTTATAGCGAGAGTTTAGCAGGATACTTCAATATACTTGAAAAGTAAACACCTTATGACATCAAATCTCATGAAGTGACACAGAATAAATGCAAAAGCAGTAGCAACAGACATTAGTGTAAGTAGCAATTTCCCGGCCACATACTCCAGACTAATGCAGGAAAAAGCCCCCAACTACTTTCATCCAATTCACCCACAAATCATACTGCACCCACGATACCCAAATGCAAAAGAAGAAGCAACTTGAACAAACTGCAGGGTAGAGCAAAAGAAGGGGGAGGAGAGGAGAGTTACGTTGTAATCTGTCTTCTTCATAGCTGGAGTCGTCGTCGTCATCCTCAGAGGAAGCGGCGGTGTTGACAAACCGAAGAGGAGTGCAGGAAAATGAGACCTGTGGAAGCAAACGCGTGTTTTGGAACGAAGGGAACTGAGAAGGAGGGATCAGAGAGATTCCCTTTGGCTTCAGAGACCAAAACGACGGAGCAAATGACAAAGGGATCTCCGATTTCGCAACAGAGTCTGTATAATCCTAATATTTCTCATGGCTTTCTCGCCCCAGGCGATAGTGCGACTTTCTTCTCCTTGTTCCTCACCTCCTCACCGCCCAATGCAAATGCAAATGCGGCGTAACACTTCACAGAACACTCTCAATTGCTCTTGTCTTCCTTTCTACTAATAGCTGTACTTCCCATTTTCGCACAAGTTTTTACACCTGAATGTAACAATCCTATTCAAAACCACGGTGGGGACTCACATTGAGCGCATTCTTTGTAAATTCAAACCTTGATTTTTACTGTGTATTTTTTGCAGAAGATTCAAATTGTTTTTTTTGGGCAGCCAACTCAAGGCATTGTTAGAAAAAATTAAAAAAAAAATTATAATTAGAATATTGAATATTATTTTACTCCCTCAATAGTTATGCTCTTGTTTTGATTCATAGGATATTTTCAAAATAAATTATTTAAAAAGGATATTTTCCTTTGATAGAACTAATATACTTTTTTTTTTTAATAAATAACTAATTTTTTTAAGTTTTTATAAATTAAAGTTTGGATGAGTTGAATCTCAATGGCTCACCAAAACTAAACATGCATTTAGGTTCAAAAAACATTTATAAAAGTACTTACATATCACTTACTATAAAATTCTCATATTAACAGTGGAATTTAAACTCACAACTTTCTGAGTTATGAACCAATTTCTTACTAGTTCATCTCAAGAATGATATTTAATTATCTTAAAGTCTTTTAACAAATGAAGTGTAAACAATAACAAGTTTTCAAATAAAGAATAACAATACGTTCAAACTAATCACTTGTTATTGGGTTTTTCTAGCAATTAAATTTCATTTTTGAAACCTCTTAATAATTCTCCCTTATTTCTTTTGGACTTCTCGACTTCTCCCACTTGTTTCCGTGCTGCTCTTATGTCACTGCTCATAGTATTAATAACTAATTTAATTAATTTTTAATACTTAAAATCAATTTTTTAAACTCTTATACCTGCAATCAGAAATAATACTTTTTTATTTTTGAATTCTATTTAGGGTTGTTTGGAACTCTATTCAAAATAGACTTGTAAACAAATTCACATAAGCTGAAATAAAACTTTCTTCATATACTTACCTCGTATTTCATAAATTACATTTGAAAAATTACTTATAAATCAATCCAAATAAACCCTTAATGGTTAACACGGTGTACTTATCTATGCTTCTTCTCGTATCCTCAGGCAGGTAAAAACAAAAAGGAAGACGCTTCAAAAGATTTTAACAATTTTTTCGTGGGTTTTTATGCGAGATAAGATGATCATCACAATGCTGCCAATTATATTTAATTCACCTGAATCGGATAATTAACTATAGCCAAAACTATTGGTTCAAATGCATTTGAAATTGATTATTGGTACAAGAAAGGAGGTAATAGAGACTGCGCCAAAAGACACCTTCGGAACTAATATCAATTTAAACAAAATTCTAGAGTTCCACGATAAAGCAAGGACCACCTTTAATTACTCTATCAACGTGGCGCGCAGCTAATTGATTTGTTTTTCACTTTACAGTCAAATAGACGTAAGCAATTAAAATTAATTTTATATTTATGTAATATAATGTAGAATCATGATCCTAAACAACCTCTATCAAAATTAAATTCTCAACATTCAATAGTTAAAAAGAAAAAAGCCCCTCATTAAAGTGAAATATAGAAGTTGTATATTCTTTTAAATAAAAAATGGGATATACTCAATCAAGATAACATGCAAAAATAAGCCCCAAAAAAAAAAAAAAAACTAATAAGCTAGTTTCATCATTCATCATTCACCTCTCTAGTGAAAAGTAGGGGTCATCAAGATATAAGGATCATTCTCAATATTGTGAGCATTTCTGTAAACAAGATCAAGAGAATCATTCCTATTCGAATTTCTGTTGATAATGTTGGAGGCGCACTTAATAATGCCTTGGAAAAGGTAGGTGTCTCTGGTTATGAGGGTGATGGCTTCAAACTAATGAAACACTCAAAAAGTTGCACACGACGATCATATATTTATTCTGATCCAAAAATGAGAATCCTGAATCTCAGTTACAGAAATGGAACATTTTCATGTCTTATGGGTAAATACCTTAAATTCATCAAGTATTTGTTACGATGCATGAACTTGACCCTGGCCAGTCAATCTCAATCATATGATATCTAACTGAAACTTGGGTCAAACACATGAAACCTTTATTTATGAAGCTCAAAATTACTTACCTGTCAGCAAATGGTAGAAAAGCTCTTTCATCCAAGCAAAATAGAAGCAACTGCTGTGACTTGCGAGGTTCCTCGCTAAACGAGATTTATATACGGAGGAACACAATCTTAATACACTAATATACAAATATGTGACACAGCACAGCAAAATATAAGCAACTGCCATGACACATTATCTCACATTGTGAACCCCGCTTGTGCAAGAGCCACATTACTTACAACACATAAATGTCAAACCTTGCTGGACCCCCCCCAAAAACCATATTTTTCTAGGGTTTACTTCAAAATTACATAGACCAGAGCCGAAAGACGAAGAAAAGAAGCAAAATTTTATATGGGACAACCACCACTACAGCGAAGAATAGTACGAAGAGTATCACAGAGGTTCTGAATGGTCTGCTGCTCTTGGGATGCCTGAAGGTCCTGCAGCGGCATATCTTCATAACACCTAATAAGGAATGAATATCGATGTCAAAAGGGGTAATCACAAAGCGGATAGAAACAGAATCCAATATGGTACCCTTCTACAATTGGTCATAGATTAAATGAAGGGTCAGAATCCCCCATTGTTGGCATTTCTTGGGCCCCTCATTAACCAAGAAAGAGCTAAATGACAAACAGATACAAAAACGGAGGCACTATAATATGTGCTTTCTTGATGTAAGCATCAATAAATGAAGACCACGCAGGTGACGGATATGATTTTTTCTTAATATTCTTGATCCTTAATTTCTTGATCAGCAAATCCGATCTAAGGAGATGGAAGAGTGGCTAGTGCTCAATTTTGAGAGTGTAGGAGAGAATCAAAAAGAATATAATCAAGAAGAATAAAACATAAATAAATCAAAACAATAATATAAATTTTTAAGAAATAGGAGCAAATAACATAGCACTGAATTAAGAGATAATAATCAGATTATGACCCCATATGGGATAGCGTGTTAGGCCTACGTACGTCACCCACAATGCAAAATAGGTGGCTATTAATTCTGTCACATCAAGTGGCAGACTATTACTATGTGCAAGTTGGAGAAAAAGAACATACATCTTGTGGTACGCTAGAGCCTGGGCCAAATTCAGCAGAGTAGAACTGGATGTCAGTCTTTGGTAAATGCTTGGAGGAACAGGCATCTGCTGCATGTTAATTAGAATACCAATATGAATGACTGTTTCAGACATGAGCATGCACAACCATGCTAACATGCAAGTACGTATGCGTGCGCAACCACCTCAATTTGTCCTCTGCGTCCCCTTTTGGACTGTCCATCACCACTAAAAAGCTCTTGCAATGCTTCTACTGTAGCAGTCCAGTGGAATCTTGTTGCATGCCACCAAGCACATTGTCCGATAGGAGAGCAATAGGTGAAATATCTGTTGCTCTCAAGAACGGAATGGGCACTGTATTACCAGCTGCATAAATTGACCAAAGCTGCAAATGGCAAAAAGTTAACAGGATATCTCTCTGTAGACTGGAGTAACAAGAGACGAATATAAGAGACCCATAAGAATAGGGGAAGATAACACAGTTGTACTAGACATTTGCCAAGCCATCGCCGAGGGACATTGTCTTCTTCTTATTCTTCTATTAAATGGAAGATTTGT